AGCTCCCTCAGCCTCTCCTGCTGCTCCAGCCCCTTCCCAGCTCCATGCCCTACCCTGCACACCTCCAGCCCCTCCATGTCTCTGCTGTCCTGAGGGCCCAGAGCTGCCCCAGGCCTGGAGGTTCCAAAGGAACTCCAGGACTCTTTCCATGTGGTCATGACTGGGAGCACTTCAGTTGAGGTTCTCTGTGAAAGCTGCACTGGAGGGACACAAATATTTGAAATCTAATGAAAAAATTGGGATCTTGACGCTTTTCCATGTCCCTGCTGTGGTGCCTGCAGCAGAGCCCTCCCAGGAAACACTCCCAGAGGGTTTTCCCAAAGCTAATGTCGGAGTGGTGTTGGAGCTGAGGTTGTGTGGAACTGGTGAAGGTCAGGGACATTTGTGGATGCTGGAAAATGCCAAGCAATGGTTGGAGATGGTTCCTGCTGCTGAGGAAATGGTGATGTGAGTTAGGTTATAAAAAGCTTTGTGGTCCTGTGTATGGAATCACATGCTCCCAGGCAGATAATCTGGGAATGTGGCACAGGGCAGGGACATCCTCATCCCAGAGGCTTCATCCTACGGAGTGAGTGTCTGTGTAAGCTGTGCTTGGCACCTCCGTCCTGGGGAATGGCAGGTGCTCCTGGTGTTAATGGTTGGAGAGGGACTTGGGACAAGGCCTGGAGGGACAGGACCCAGGGAATGGCTTCCCACTGCCAGAGGGCAGGGACAGGTGGGATATTGGGAAGGGATTCCTGGCTGGGAGGTGCTGAGGCACTGGCACTTTCCCTGGAAAGGATGTGACCTACACTGTGTCCAACTCTGGGCACCAACACAGGAGGATGTGGAGAGAGTCCAGAGAGGCCACGGAGATACTCCAAGGGCTAGCTAAGTTAAATATTCCCATAGTCACTGGTTCTAACAGGAAATAAACACAACAGCTCCGGCAAACTGCTGGATCAGCTCCAGAGGAGACAATCAGAGGGACTGGGCACCTCTGCCCTGGAGGCAGGCTGGGAGAGCTGGGGGTGCTCACCTGGAGGAGAGAAGCTCCAGGGAGACCTCAGAGCCCCTTCCAGTGCCTTAGAGGGCTCCAGGAGGACACTGGTTAGGGGTGAACGTGGTTAACATTGGGCTTGATGGTCCTGGAGGTCTTTTCCAGCCTTAGCAATTGCATGATAAGAGGTAACGAAGAAGGAGGATTAACTCCTCCCTTTTTGCCTTGCAGCTAGTTGTGTCCCATCACCATGTTCTGGAAGTTTGATTTGAACACAACATCACACGTGGACAAGCTGCTGGACAAGGAGGATGTGACACTTCACGAGCTGATGGACGAAGATGACATCCTCCAGGAGTGCAAGGCGCAGAACAGGAAGCTGCTGGACTTCCTGTGCCAGCAGCGCTGCATGGAGGAACTGGTCACCCTCATCACCCATGAGCCCCCCGTGGACATGGATGAGAAGGTTCGCTTCAAGTAGGTATTGGCATCTGCCCTGGGGCACAGCAGCACCTGGGGAGGTCTTGGTTGTGGCAGCCAGCAAGGCTTCCACCTTGGTTGCTCCTCTGGTGGGAGGTGGATGTGACCTCTTTGGTGGCTTTGAGCACTGGGAATGTTTTGCAGCGTTTGAGGGTTTGCAGGGAGTTGTTAGAGGTTTGTTGGTTTGGTTTTAAAGGTTCATTGAGTTTGTGTTAAAAAAGCAGCATCTCCTGGTGTTGACTCCAAATCAGCATCTTGGGAGGGCCCTGAGGAGGGTTCTGTCGGAATAGCAAGCAGGAAAGGTGGAAATCTCTGGACTCGATGTGTTTTCAAACCCAGAAAAGGGAGTGAGCTGGAAAACGAATGAAATATGTAATATTTTATGGAATCATGGAATGGTTTGGGCGGGAAAAGCCTTAAACCTCATCCCAGCCCCCCCCTGTCCAGGCAGGGACACCTCCCACCAGCCCAGGCTGCTCCAACCCCATCCCGACTGGCCTGGAACACTTCCAGGGCTGGAGCAGCTACACTGCTCTGGGCAGCCTGTGCCAGTGCCTCAGCACCTCCCAGGGAACCTTCCTTCCATGAGAGCTTTGCTGAGGGCAGATGTCCCGGAGAGTTCTCCCCCCAGGTCTGTTACTGTGCCCCTGTCCCTGAAGGTACCCCAACACGGCCTGTGAGCTGCTCACCTCGGACGTGCCCCAGATCAACGACAAGCTTGGGGGGGATGAGACTCTGCTCAACATCCTCTATGACTTCCTGGATCATGAGCCTCCCCTGAACCCTCTGCTTGCCAGTTTCTTCAGCAAGACCATAGGCAACCTCATTGCACGGAAAACAGAACAGGTAGTGATGGGATTTGGCACAGGTGATTCCCTGCTGTGCTCTCTGTGCTGTGGTGGTTGGGTTGTTGTGCCCTCAGGAGCTCAGGTTTTTCCTAGAGCTGAGTTTAGGGCTGGAGTTGAAACGTGGCCTCCAAAAGGTTCCTGGGATCCCTCAGTGGAGAGAGCTGCTGGCTTAGACCTTCCCATGGTGTTGGGTTTGGATCTGCCCTACCTGGGACATTCCCAGGCCACATCTAAAGCTTTATCTTCCATCCTGAGCCATCTTGAGGCATCCTGTGATCCTCAGTCATCCCATTCCGTAAGCAATGCCTCAGGCCCATCCCTGCAAAGGGGTGCTGGAAGCATGGGCTGGACAGGGATTTAGGAATACACATCCCACTTAAATCGGGTTTTCAAACAAAGGCTGTCGGGGAGCTGGGAGGAAGGGACAGTCATGGAATCAGCAGGGTTGGAGGAGACCTGTAAGATCATCAAGTGCAGCCATTGACCTGTCACTGCTGCAACCCCTGAACCCTAAACCAGGTCCTCCAGCAGCTCCTCTACCTTCACTTGAGGCTCTTACTCCTTGGGTTTCCTTGGGGCACTGAGGAGAGAAAAAATGGCTTAAAAGATCCCGTTCAATCTTGCCTTGGAGTAAGACCATTGTTCCTTGTTCTCTGGAGCATTTCCCATCCCAGCTTGGCATCCAGATGGGCTGGCAGAGGGAAGGTGGTGAAGCCTGGGGAGCTGTGTGACTGACAGTGCCTTTTCCCTGCAGGTGATCACATTTCTAAGGAAAAAGGAGAAATTCATCAGCCTGGTGCTAAAGCACATAGACACCTCTGCCATGATGGACCTGCTGCTGCGCCTCATCAGCTGCGTGGAGCCGGCGGCGCTGCGGCACGACGTGCTCAACGTGAGCAGGCTGGGCCTGGGCTGTGCTCCACTGCTCTGGGAGCTGCTCTCCGTGGGGCTGGAGCTGGGTGTGCGGTGTCCTTCAGCGTGGCCCAGTCCCGCGGCAAAGGGTTCTCAGCTCCTTTTTCCATGGAGCAACCAGCCCTTGCTCCAGCTGTTCCTACTGGAGAGTTGGACAAAGGGAATTGGTGTTGCTTCTGAGTTTTAGACTCAGCTGGGACAGGAATTTGGTTGATTTCTCACTGTGTATGTGATTATGGAATCAGGGAATGCTTTGGGTTGGGAGGACCTTAAAGCCTATCTCATCCCACCCCCTGCCATGGGCAGGGACACCTTCCACTAGCCCAGGTTGCTCCAAGCCCCATCCAGCCTGGCCTGGAACTGAGTAGTGTTTTCCCTGGACAACTGACTGCCTTCCAAGAAGTTCCCAAACATCCAGCGTCCCATGGGGTTGGTGTGACTCAAGGGCAGGACCAGCACTTGGCCTCGGTGACGCTCACACTGTGGAGCACCCAGGAGCAGGGCATGAGCTGGAGCAGGAGCAGGGCTGGAGCCGGAGCAGCAGGATGGTGTTGGGAAAGCTGGAGCTCAGCCAGTCAGACCTGGCAAGGATGTGAGAGGCAGCTCAGGGCCTGATCCAGGGCTTCATCCTGGCAGGGTCTGTCTCCCCTCGTGACACACCTGAGGTACCCCTTGGCAGTGGCCTCAGCGCCCACGTGGCCTCAGGAGCAAGGAGTGGCCAGCCAAGGTCATCCAAGGTCCTCCAGCCTTGGCAGCTGCTCCAGGGGAGGCTGAGCTGTGCCCAGCAGCAGTTGTGGCTGGCACTAGGCTCCTCATTCCTGGAGTGTCCTACCTCCCTCCCTGTACCGTCCATGTGCTCAGGTGGCTCCATGACTTCCTGGAGGGAACTGTTTCTCCTCACCTGTGACTCCCAAGCCATTGTGCACACCTGGAAGTGAAACAGCTTTTCCCATGTGCCCAGCTTCCAGTTGCTCCCACTCCATCCCCTAATTCTTGGGTGTTCTCTGCCTGTTCCTTCTTCCATGTGAAATCAGCGTCCAGGAAGTCCTGGACATAGTGTCTGCAGGAAAACCCTTTTGGAATTCATCCAGAAGATAGTGTTACATTTTCTCTTCTCCCCTATCATTCCCATCCCCTGGAAGCACAGTGCCTGCTAGGAATGCACCTGCTGTGGGTGAGGAACATCATCTCCACAATGTGCTCCTTGGGAGCTGCTTGTCCATGTCCTCCCTCAGGAGCTTCATGTGGGATGAGGCATCCTGTGCCCTCCTGCATGTCACTGCTGTGGGTTAGGAACATCATCTCCACATGGAGCAGCACCATGTGCTCCCTGGGGCTCGGTTGTGCATGTTCTCCCTCATGAGCTCCCTTTTGTGATGAGGCATTCCATGCCCTCCTGCACATCACTGTGTGGTGGTGGCACAGCACGTGGGTTCTGCGGTGCCTCCACGGCTCCTCCCAGCCCACAGCTTCCTCAGCTCCAAGCTCAAACTCCCAGTTTGCTTGGACCAGTTTGCCACATCCCACTTGCTCTGTGGGGCCTGGGCACACCTGATCCAGGTGTTCCCAGCAGTGGTTGGGAGCAGGAGCAGCACACAGGAGCCTTGTTGGTTTGAAGACAAATCAACCACCTCCTGCTCGCTGCCCCCACAGCCTCCCTGGGAATGATTCCTGGGCAAGTCTCCTGTCCGGGATCTCATGGAATCCCAGGAGGGTTTGGGTGGGAGGGACCTTAAAGCCTACCCAGTGCCACCCCCAGCCATGGGCAGCGACAGCTCCTACCTGCCCCGGTCACTCCAAGGGCCTGGAAGTACAGGACACAAGGAATGGCTTCCCACTGCCAGAGGGCGGGGACAGGTGGAAGATAGGGAAGGGATTCCTGGCTGGGAGGTGCTGAGGCACTGGCACAGGGTGCCCAGAGCAGCTGTGGCTGCTCCATCCCTGGGAGCGTTCCAGGCCAGGTTGCATGGGGCTGGGAGCAGCCTGGGCTGGGGGAGGTGTCTCTGCCTGGGGCAGAGGTGGTACTGGATGGAGTTTGATGTCCTGTCCCACTCAAATCCATGATTACATGCTCCTGTCCTTGCAGAACCCTCCAAAGTCCCTTTCCTTTCCACCCCATGGGCTGAGCTGTCAGGAGCAGCTGAGGATGTGTTAGATTGGTTCTGTGGCTGATGTCAGACATCAGCGCTTGGCCTGGGACAGGGTGTGGAAATGTGAGTGAGGAGAGTTGGGAGGAGATGAGGATGTGTTGGGGCTGGGCAGGTGAAGGTGGAAGGGATCCTTTGGGGGACATTCCTGGTTTGCATGGGCTGGTGTGCACCAGGAGGAGGAAGCTGTTGAGGTTGGTGTGGAGCAAGCAGGGCTGTGGAGGTACAGTCACAGCCACCCTCAGCAGCTGGAAGGGGCTGGGATCACTGTGCACGCAGCAGGAAGAGCAGGAACGGGTGGGAGAAGGGCATGGTGCTGAGAGTGTTTGTTACTGCTTTGCCACTGCTCCGTTCCATGTTTTCCAGAGCTATTTAGGATTTCAGTTCCATGGCTGATGCAAACCAGGATCCATCCTTCTCCATGCCTCTGGGTCCTGCCTGTGGCTGGGATTAGGAGGGAGAAGGAGAGCCTCTCAAAGCTCCTTTTGTTCTGAGTTCTGGGCTGTCCAACAAGGTTTTTCTTTCCCTCTTCCTTCCCCTGCAGTGGCTTAATGAAGCAAAGATCATCCAGAGGCTGGTGGAGCTGATCCATTCGAGCCAGGATGAGGATGTGAGTATGAGCAGCTTTGGCTCTGGGGTGGGGAGTCCTGCAGGATCCTGTGGACTCCCTTGTGCCTCTGGTGGTCCCGGGTGATGTCCAGAGGAGCTGCTGAGGGCCGTGTGGATGCACCTCCTGTCCTCCCTCTGCACCAGCTCCTTCTGGTGTGGTTCTCATCTGCTTTTGACTTGTTTTGCTGCTTCATTCTGCTGCTGCTTCAGCTCATCCCAAATCCACAGACATGGAAACTTCCCTTGGGTTTAGGAGGAACTTGTGATATCCTGAGTATTTATTACCCAGTTTAGGTAATTTTCAGATCTTTTTATCCTAAGTAAGAATTGAAGGGTAAAACCTCCAAGGTGGAATTGTCTGAGCCCAGAAAAACGCTGAGCCTGCAATTCCTTGAGCTAATCCCAGCCCGAGTCAGTCCTGGGAGGTGAACTGGGAGGTGCCACTGTGTTGTGTGCTGGTGGAGCTGGCCGAGGCTGGCACTGTCACCACGCGCCCAAGAGGCTCCGGCCAGGGCCAGAGGATTAGGTCCTCACAGCATCACGTTGAAGCCTTTTAATCCTTAGTAATTGAGTTGTAAAGGGTTTATCAAGCCATTTCTTTCCTTCCTTGCGGGAAACCTGAGCTGGGAGCAGGAGGGATGAAGTATTTGGGTTGGGAATGTGCAAGTTGACAGGAGTGAGGAGGAAGATTAAGCAGAATCTTCCTCTCTGAACTCCTTAACTGCAGCTGAACTCAGGCAGATCTCTCTGATTTTGCAGTCTGGTAAAGCAAAGAATCCAGGCTGTGTCTAACCCATGAATCACCTCCGGTGTGGCAGCCAAAACTGGGATCTTACGGAAAGTTAAGGGGTTGGGATGGACCTTAGAGATCACGCAGTGCCACCCCCTGCCCTGGGCAGGGACACCTCCCACCAGAGCAGGTTGCTCAAGGCTTGATCCAACCTGGAGTGAAACACTGCCAGGGTTGGGGCATCTACTGCCTCCCTAAGGCACCCACAAGCTCCCTGGGGCATCCACAGCCTCCCTGGGCAACCTGTGCCAGTGCCTCACCACCCTCACAGGGAAAACTTCCTAACATCTAACCTGAATTTCCCTCTTCCATTTTCTCCCCTTCCATGGTTTTACATCCCCATCCATGGCTTTGCATTCCCAGCTGTGTGACATTCCCCACGAGGGCCAGAGGGAGCTGAGCAGAGGCCTAAGCACTGACTGTGCTCTGTGTCCTTATTCCCAGAGGCAGTCCAACGCTTCCCAGACCTTGTGTGACATCATCAGGCTGAGCAGAGACCAGAGTACTCAGCTGCAGGACATGCCAGAGCCAGACCCACTTCTCACAGCACTGGAATCGTAAGTACCTCCACGGAGCCCCAGGCTGCTGGGGCTGGCTCCCACTGGTGTACAGTGTGTGTGTCTCAGGCCTGGGCTCAACCCCTGGGCCACCACTGGGGTCACTTTCAAGGTGTCATGTTGCTGAATGGTCTTGTTTGGGGGTTGTGGCTCCATCTGAGCTGAGAGAGTTGGGGCTGTTCAGCCTGGAGAGAAGGTTGTGTGGAGACCTCAGAGCACCTGCAGGAGCTGAAGGGGCTCCTGGAGAGGGACTTGGTTAGGAGCTGCAGGGACAGGACAAGGAGCAATGGGGAGTAACGGAAAGGGGAAAGTTAGATTAGATCTTAGGCAGAAATTGATTCTTGTGAGGGTGGTGAGACACTGGCACAGATTGCCCAGGGAGGCTGTGGATGCCCCAAGGAATAAGTTTTATCATCTCTGTGTCACAGATTAGTGCTGAGCTGGTGCAGCATGAAGGAGCTGGGATGGGGCAGGATCAGGGTTAGGGATAAACATCTATCCCACATTACTCACTGCCTGCAATAAAAGGGAATGGCTTAATTGCAGTGAATTTACCCCTTTTTCCTGCCTCTTCCCCGTCTCGCTGTGCTGACAGTGTATTTGGATGCTCCTTACTAAAATCATTCCCTCTCCTGCATTATTCATGGCATTCTAGATCTTTAGCTCATGTTTTATTGATATTGATGGAAATGAGATTTCAGAAGGTTAGGAAGTAGTACAAACTCAGCTGTGAATTGGAGGAACTGGTGAGAGTTGCACACGTGAGTGGGGAAGGCAGGAGAGGCACTGCTGAGTGCTGGGTTTGGAGAGCTGTCCAGGACATCCGCAGGGAAGGAGCTGGAATGCTGCTGTGGGCAGGAACTGGAGCAGTTCTGGCCTCAGCCTCCTGCTCCTCCCATCCATTATTCATCTCACATGGCAAAGAGCAGGAGAAAAGTGGGATCTCACCTAATTATCCTGCAATTTGAAGGCTTTTTCAGGCTGATTTCAGGGCTGGAAAGGCCCCAGGAAGGTCCAGCCCTTCCTGGGTCATCCTCTCCTGTCCCAGATCTCTTAGGGCTTGGGAGGTGTTTGATCTCGGGTCAAGGCTCAGAGAGGTGGGAATTGATTGACATGGCTAGATGTGTCCCAAAGTTCCGTAGTGAGAGCTGCAGCCGTTTTGTCCAGAGAGCCCAAAAGTGGAGATTCTGTGATGGAATCTTCTGCCAGATCATCATTGTTGTGATCTTTACCCTGTGTGTGTGTGTCCCACCAGGCAGGAATGTGTGGAGCAGCTCCTGAAGAACATGTTTGATGGTGAACAGACAGAGAATTGCATCGTGAACGGCACACAAGTTCTCCTGACCCTGCTGGAGACGCGGCGCTCCGGGTGAGTCAGGGCTGCCATCCCCACGGGGCTGCTGGGCACCCAGGCCAGGTCTGGGGGCGAGAGGACTTCTCTTGGCCTGCTGGGAAGTGTCTTCAGATGGCAGCAAGGACAAGCAGTGATAGGCAAGGGGGAATGGCTTCCCACTGCCAGAGGGATATTGGGAAGGAATTCCTGGCTGGGAGGTGCTGCAGCATTGGCACAGGGTGCCCAGAGCAGCTGTGGCTGCTCCAGCCCTCAGTCCATGTGGGATGGGGTTGGATCAGCCTTGGCTGGTGGGAGGTGTCCCTGCCCAGGACAGGGGTGGGATTTAAGGTCGCTCCCACCCAAACCATTCCATGATTCCGTGAATCTCTCTATGGCTACGTAGTTTTAATTTTGTTTTTTAAAGTTATATCCCCTTTGATTTCTTTTTCTGGAGACAGAGGAGAGAGAAGGCAAGGAGAGTTCTGGGGTGGAAGGTGTCCAGCAGAGTGGCATGTCCAGCCCTGGCCCAGGGCTGGAGTCACATCCCTGAAGGGATGTAATGGCCATGTGGGTATGGCACGTGGGGACATGGTCAGTGGTGCCTGGGGGAACAGTTGGACTCGGTGCCTCAGAACCTTTTCCAGCCTCAGTGGTCCCATGGTTCTGTGACACTCCCAGCTGTTTTCCAGGAGAGCACATGTAGTCCAACCTTCCCTGCTGTACTTTCCCTGGCAGGGTGGAAGGGCTGATGGACTCGTACACTCAGGGATTCGAAAGGTCTTATACTGTCAACAGCAGCATCTTACACGGCATCGAACCGCGGCTCAAGGACTTCCACCAGCTGCTGCTCTGCCCCCCCAAGGTAGGACACCTCCTCCTCATCATCCTTGGGGCTTCGCTTTCCCCGCAGTCCTGGGAATCCCTGGTCTCTCCAAAGGCTCCTGATGCTCGGTCAGACGTGGCCAGCTGAGGTTGGGATGTCTCCAGAGAGGAGACTCCGGGCCCTCCCCGGGCTGCTGTTCCTCTGCTCTGCCACCTCCATGGAGACGAGTTCCTCCTCGTGTGGAGGTGGAACTTGTCGTGGCTTTACAGCCATTGGTGCTGTCCCTGGGCACAGCAGACCCTGCCTGTGGCCTGGAGGCACGTTGGTGCTGACCCTGCTACTGTCCCTGCAGAAATCAGCAATCCTGACCACGATTGGGGTGCTGGAGGAGCCGCTGGGCAACGCGCGGCTCCATGGCTCCCGGCTCATCGCTGCTCTGCTCCACACCAACACTCCCAGCATCAACCAGGAACTATGCAGGCTCAGCACCATGGACTTGTTACTTGTGAGCACCCTGGGCAGTGGGGAGGGACTTCCAGCTGGGACCTCCTCCGGGCACGCTGGTTTGTTCCATGTGGGCCAGAGCCTGATTGTGTTTCTGATCTGCTGCACATTGGAGCATCTGTGCTTGGAGCAGCTTTGGGGATCCACATGGAATTGTTTGCGAGTTTGAACTGAAGCTCATGCTGCACATTCCTTGTTAGTGCAGTGGAGGGTGGAAACAGCCTGGTGGGATGTGTGTGTGGGCTCCTGAGAGCTCCATTGCTCCTCACACTCCCAGGGTCATTAAGGTTGGAAAAGACCTCCAAGGTCATCAAGTCCACCCTGTGCCCCATCCCCACTTGCCAGCTAGCCCAGAACACTGAGAGCCATGTCCAGTCCTCCAGTCCTTCCTTGGACACCTCCAGGGGTGGTGACTCCACCACCTCCCTGGGCAGCACATTCCAGGGCCTGACAGCCCTTTCCATGAGGAAATTCCTCCTCATGTCCAACCTGAGCCTCCCCTGGCACAGCCTGAGGTGTTTCCCTTGTGCTGTCCCTGTTCCCTGGGAGCAGAGCCTGACCCCACCTGGCTGCACCTCCTGGCAGGAGTTGGGGAGAGCAGAAGGTTCCCCTGAGCCTGATGGAGCACAGCCAGGGGTGGGGACTGAGGTGAAGGAAAAGTGTGTTAGGGAATTGCTGATGAAACAGCAAGATTTAATATCCTACAGTCACTGGATCCCAGGGCGAGTTGGAAAGGGGTTGGAGAGAGGTCCTTAAAGGTACTTAACAGCCTGAAAAATGGGATCATTTATCCACACTAAATTCTTCTGTCTCTCTCTTTTCTTCCAGGACTTATTTTTTAAATACACATGGAATAACTTTTTGCATTTTCAAGTGGAACTGTCCATAGCAGCTATTCTGTCCCACTCTGTGCACGAGGGAAAGGCTCCCACGGCCGAGCCTGAGAGCAAGGAGGAGGTGCTGAATGGGAACGCGGCCCCGGAGAGCTTGGAGCCAGCACAGCCCCCCGAGAACCTCATGGTCACACATGTGAGTGCTGCTGCCACCACACCTGGCTCAGGGGGCTGCTCTGCATGGGCACCACCCAGCACATGGTGGGATGAGCTATTCCAAGTGTGGAGTTTATTTGTTACGGATTTATGATGATCCATTGGTGGGTTTTGAGGTCCTTCAGGTGCTTTGTACATTGATTTTTAGCATCTCATCCCTAAGTAACCACAAAAACACATCTTGTTTACTGATCTTGGGATTCCACTACTGTTTAGTTCTGGTTCCATAGGAAAAATGCCTCAAAATATTGGATAAAAACATGAAGATTTCAGCTCTTCTTTGGGGCCCTAATGGTGAAACTTCCTGCCTGCAGGAAGCCCAGGAGCAGCCTAGGGGGTTAGAGCTGCTGCTGTTCCCCCTGGATCCTCTGAGAAAATGCCTGGGAAAGAAGGAATTTGGGCTCTTGGGCAAGGGAAGGGCTGGAACTGGAGCTGTTGAAGGAAGGGGCAGAAGGAGCCAGAGCTCTGACTCCTGCTCTGAGTATCCCTGTGGAATATCCTGAGTGTTCTCCCTGGTTTTCCCTTCCAGCTGTTCCAGAAGTGCTGCCTGGTGCAGAGGATATTGGATGCCTGGGAAGCCAATGACAAAATCCAGTAAGCATTTGGACATTGAAACATTCCCTGGAATATTATCCAAAAATTCAGTATTATTCACTATCCAAGAGAATTGAAATACCCAGCTGTTCTTGGATAATCCACATTTTCATGGTGTTTCAACCAGTTGGGATTGGGATTGGGGTTGGGATGGGGATGATTGGCATATTAAAGAGCCAAATTCACACACTGGAGGTGGAATTTGAAGACATAGTTGGTTTGGGGAAGTTTCTCTGGTGAC